AAGTCTTCAAGCAGTACCTGAGTGAGGCGTCTGAGGAGAGTTGGGAAAAGTACAGGGCCAAGAGAAAACAGGTGAAGGGACTAGTGAAAAAAAAAACAAATGTGCGTTTGAGACGAAGTAGTGCAGAAGACCAACGGAGGCCTGGAGCGGAACGTCAAGCAGATGTGGGAAGGGATTAATGGAATGGTAAAAAAGACCGCGCAAGGGGGGGATACAGGAGTAGCAAGTCTGCGAGGTGTGAACGGTGGATTAGTCAGCAGTGGGAAGGGAAAAAGGGAAGTTCTAGCAGGATACTACCAAGAGACTTGGAGTGCCCTCGGAGAATGAAGATTTTGACTGAAGTGTTTAAGAACGCATGGGCCCAAAAAGAAGAAGAGACATCGAAGGCAGACGTTGGGAACGTAGAACTAGAAAAGGAGTTCACTGAGGACGAGGTTGAGGCGTGTGTGAACAAGCTGAAGTTCCACAAAGCAGCAGGAGCGGATGGGATAGTTAACGAGTTCATGAAGTTATGGGGGAAGGGGATGATCCCGCTGATGGTTCTGCTATTCAATTGGGTCTGGAAAAACGAGTATACGCCAAGTAGATGGAGGGAAGGAGTGGTTGTGAACTTGTTCAAGAAAGGAGACAAGACTGACCCAGGAAACTACAGGGGGATCACACTGTTGAACACAGTAGGAAAAGTGTTCTGTAAGCTGCTGAACGATAGGATAGTGGGAGTATTGGAGAAGGAACATAGCATTAGTGAGGGCCAGGCAGGTTTCCGAAAGAAGAGGGGGTGCGTAGACCACGTATCCAAGGTAGGAAGAATCATCCAAAGTAGTAAGAGGGCGGGAAAGCCGACGTACTGCTTCTTCCTGGACGTGAAAAAGGCATACGACACCGTATGGAGAAATGGGTTGTGGAAACAACTGTCCAAATACGGGATCAAGGGGAAAATGTGGAGAGTGCTGAAGAAGATGACAGAGTGTACGAAAAGCGCGGTCATGCTAGACGGAGAACTGTCAAAATTCTTCGACATTGAGCAGGGGGTCCCACAAGGTTGCACGCTGTCCCCAACATTGTTCCAGGTGTTCATCAACGATCTGTTGGAAGTCGTAGAGGCAGTCCGGAAGGGAGTAAAAGTAGGGGACACGGAAACGTCGGTTTCAGGAATGCTGTTTGCGGATGATTTTGTCGGTATGTCGGACATCCCTGAGGGACTGCAACTGCGAATTGACGCGTCGAAGAAGTTTACTGATAAGTGAAGATTGTCTGCCAACGTTAAGAAGAGTGCGGTCATGGTATGCAACGAGAGCAAGGAGGAACCAGTAAAACATTGATGGATGGAAGTGGGGGTTCGAGAAGATTGCAGTAGTGGACCAGTACACATACCTCGGAGTAGAGATCGCAAAAGACTGGTCGTGGAATGCACACATGTCCGAGGTAGCGGAAAAGGGCAAAGCACGAGCAGGGGAGCTGCACCTCGTCAATCGGCACCTCGATACACGCATCAAATTGACGGCTTTGAACAGCGTAATCGTACCGCCGCTAGAGTACGCCGGAGAAGTATGGGAAGGAAATAAGAAGGTAGTGAAAGAACACGAGGCGTCGCAGATGAAAGCAGCGAAAATCATCCTAGGATGCTCCAAGCGCACAAGTAATGCAGCCGTCAGGGCAGAATTGGGGATCCAATCCCTACGGTCGTGTTTCGCCAAAAAAACGTGTTTCGAGGTTCCGCCGCGACTCAAACCACGCTCCCAACTGGAACCACGCCGCCGGGTGAACTGTGCTAACCCTGACTTCCAAGCACTTGACCCCTGGTGTGACTGATGACTCGCTACCTCCCTCAAGGGGCGGGGATGCACACGAAGTCCGCCGTAGGAGCGGCGGCTACCGCGGTCACTGGTGCGGGTGACAGGTTCCAACCGACACTAGCGGGGAGACAGCGAAACACGAATTTTCAACCGTCACTTTCTGCAAAGCGTTTTTCCAAACAACGTGTTTTTCGTGCGTTTTTTAGGTGGAATCCCTAGAATAACATCACTCTGTGTGTTTGCCTACCTAACCTCCCATCACATGACAGCTGCTTTGTAGCTGCAGCTGGAGGAATAGCTGTACAGCAACTGCAGTGACAATGCTGTTGCCTCGACAGGTTTGGAACCTCGAGTTGCTCGAGCTAGTACACCAGAGTCACAAGAGTCGGTAAGCATGGCTACCGGCTCGTCAGGCGAGATCCGAGGATTCGCCAAGTTCAGTAGTGACCCAGGCGACTACGTTGCCTGGCGAACCCTGCAAACCTCCTTATTGATGGAGGACAAGCTGCACAAGGTTCTGTTGGGAGTGGAGAAGGCCCCCACAGATCCCGGACCTAGCGCTACGCCAAACAAACCAGACTTTGGCATACCAAACTGCCCAGGAAGGATACCATGACAAAAACGGACAGATCTTTACCCGGCTGATGCTCGCCACATCGAAACCGGGGACTACCAGAGCGCAGCCTCGCAGACTGTGCAGGCATACGCGTCTATTGGATCTTCCTACAACGGAAACGGTCGTGGAGCCTTCCTCGCCCTGGAACGAAAGTGCCAGGCCGCTGGGGTATAATATCGTACGCAGGATCTACCACGGAGAAGTTCATATCTTTGGCAGTTACTGCGGACCACGACTTTGACCCGGCCAATGTTGTTCAAGACGTACGCCGGATCTGCACGGAGCTCGCCGTGTATAACGACGCGGTGGCTGACCACGGAAAGACGTTCGCTTTCCTGAAAGCTCTGCCGGACGACCACTACAAAGCGTTCAAGACAGGGCTGTTATGCGGCCAGGCTGCTGGGAGCGTCTTGTCCTTCGAGGAGGTCGCCGACCGAGCCACTTCGTTCCACGCGATGCACATTTATTTGCGGTAAAATTGCGTCGAAGAACGAGTCCGGAACCAGCAGTCGTGCGCTGAATTCCGTCACACACGGCGGAGCGCGCTCTTTCCGTTAGGGCGGGGGTCATCATGGTCGTGGACGCGCGCAGCGCGGTGGACGAGGACGTGGCAGCTGGAACAACTCGTCGAACCGTAACAACGGGTCGTCGGGGGGGAACAACAGCAACGACCAGAATCATGGCGGCGCAACTTCGTCTGGCAACGGAGCTGGTGGTGCGTCTTCCGACAACCGGTCCTCTGGACGGCCAAAGCACTCACAGTAAAGATGCGGGTACGACAGGGACGGCTTATGCAGTTATTGTCACAATTCTACGGGACACATCTGGACGAACTGCCCGCTTCGCGCCTCCACTGCCACGCGTTTTTCATACCCAGAGCAGCAACCGCAGCAGCAAGTCAACACGACCGCGGAAGCCACGACACAGGCGTGGCTCACGTAGGCGCGCGAGGTACACCTCACGCTGGAATTATTCGATATCGCCATTCGGCGATCCTGAGCAGGTGCAGTTTGCGCCTGCTGCATCGACCCCGGAGGAGGCGTCTGATGCCAATGTCGGGCATGTGCTGGCTGGGCCTGCCACAGCTTCGCTGCCCCATCCATGCAGGTAGGTGCCGATTGCGCCTGCCACAGCAGAGGAAACCAAGGAGCCTGCTGCCTCCTGCGAGCAGGACAAGGACCCGCCTGCCGCGACACAGCATGACGAGCTGGTCGCGTACACCAACGATTTTCGTTGCGTGGACAAGAACGTCCCCGCCGAGACCACAAGGGTGTACATCGATACCGCCGATTTCAGGCACAACAACGACATCGTCGGTGGAACCTCGAACGGAGAGGGCAAGGCGGAAAATGCGCAAGGTGCACGCGGGAAAAGTCGCGGGAGCTAAGCCTCGGGATGTCGAGAGATGGGTCAGGATACCGGCCGGAACAACCGTGGCAGATGCAGATACTGGCACAACTCCACCGAGCACGGGTAACGATTGCCCGCTCCGCTTCGCATGGGGCGGAAGACGCTAAGAATGAACAGGCACATCCCACCACGCTGGAATCAACCACGCAAGCGAGATTCACACGAGCCCAACGAGAAACAAGTGAGCTGCTGGGCTTCAGCATCATCGTCATCGGAGATTGCGCGCAGGTGCAAAAGGAGCCTGTTGCCGTGCTGCCAATGGAGCGCGCGGCTGAAGAAGTGCAGGTGCCCGAGGTACCTGCTGCGGCGAAGCCAACGGAGCGCCTCGCCGGTGATGAGCAGGCGCTAACGGCGTCTGCAGCTGATGCGAACGAGGATATCAATGCTACCATCAAGCAGGCGTCGATTGTGCGTACAGTAACGATATTTGAGAAGCTCCCTGACGATCACATACAAGTGCAGGGTACACCGAGACCAACGATTTACAGCAGTGGGTTCGTTGTCACTGGCAGGAAGCAGTCGCCAGGCATCACCGAAGAAGAAGAAGAGATCGCGCTCGCAGGAATTTCAACACATCAGAATTTCCCGACCGATAACGAGAGACCGTACGGAGAAAAAAAACGTCCTAGGACGGCTATGACCGTAGAGACCAAGAAGACCTTCACCGGAGCTGAGACAGTGTTCGATTCAGCGGCAGCCTCGAATAACCCGAGGACGGATCCGTACCGGCCCTGGGAGCCAGGAAGCTGCAACGAGGAGGCTAGTCTATAGCAATCGTCACGGGTATCACTTGAGGGCAGCAAGGACTACCGCGGGAGTTTCGCAGCTGATACTACTACATATTCCGGAGCCGGAAAGAAAACAGCCGCCGGCCGCCGGGAGGAGCGAGCTAAAATGAATGAACAATACTTGACAGCAACCAACGTGCCCGAACATCTTTTTTGAGCGAAAAACTAACCACATCAAACAGGTGACCAAGACGAAGGAGACGGAAGAATCATGATGAAGTAGTTGAAGTTGAATGGTAGATCTGCGGTGGCAATCGCAGCGCGAGAACAAGAAGGCATGAAGATGTCAACAAGCTGCCGAAGGGAAACAAGTCGAGTTTAATCACCTCCCCTCTTCGTAGTCCCCCTTCGTAAACCCCCCCCCCCCGGTGTTTGCCATCGGGGTTGGGTTTTCGTCGCTTGGCAACGACGTTGTAAAACAAGCCGCCCCCCCCGGTGTTTGCCATCGGGATTGGGCTTTCGTCGCTTGGCAAAGACGTTGAAAAACAAGCCAATTCACTTCGTTAACTCGGCAACCAGGTTACCGTTCTTGTTTTTTTACCTCCGGTTTTTTTTTTGGCGGTAACCATAATGGTGGTCGAGTAGATCATGTTGTGCGGGGTGGAGAACCCTCACTCCGCGCAAGGGGGATGATCGCACCACGTTGTGTTAAAATGGTCAAGCACCCTCGAGGCAGTTACACAGTGCTTACAACTGTCTCTGGAAGTGAAAGCACCAGAAAATAAATTAATTCATACGCAGCTGTCATCCGTACGCAAGGAAGTAAGCACAAGATGCCGAACACCCTTAGCAGGATGCAGCGCACCCTTCATGCGACTCGCCGAATATCTCACGGCGCTTCGCGCTTGGTGATGTGAGAGCCTGGTCCGGTGAGAACCCGGCGTGCTCCGTCCCGGCTTTGTAGGGATGCGAGGTCAATGGTCTAACGACTACGGCATGCACGACTATGAGTACACCCCCCCCTCTTCGTAATCAGACTAAGGGTTGGATGGTGTATGTGTGTTTAAGTTAAAAAGCATATTCGGGAGATTTGTGTTGAAGGAAAACTTTCGCTGCTGATGCAACGCGGCTGAGACAGGCAAAACAATTGATATTGAGTCAGAAGCTCTTAAGATAGCCTTGTTTCGAAAGGACAGTGAGAGAGAACTGGATCTGATGCATTGGTACTAGAACGGCGTAGTTTTTGAGAGGACATGTTGGAGTAATTGCGGTACAAGAACGACTCTATTCTACTGCTTGGGTTTATGCAGTATTATTGTGAAGGCGTTGCCAAGTCTGAAACCGTCAGGTCAAGACAGCTTGGGCGTCTGTGTGGATAATAAGATCACTCTTGTGTGTTTGCCTACCTAACCTCGTATCACATGCCAGCTACTTTGTAGCTAGAGCTGAAGGACAGCTTCAGCAACTGCCGTGACAGTGTTGCCTCGACAACAACCAACACACGAGCAACCGGATTGTTCACCCCGTCGTTCATTCGCACCTTGCTTGCTGCTTGAAGTGCAACTCGGTTGTGCCCCCTTGCCAACATCACTTCTTTTCTCTTTCCCCGTTTTCCTCGACGAACAAATACATGGAATCCCGTGGCCATCCGAACCCTGAAATAACAATGTAAAATAATAGGATCCACATTGCGAGCAAACAGAATGCAGTGACCTCGAAAGATCCCACCACCGTCGAAAGAAGACAAACCACAAAGCGAAACATGACAAGATCGACATCGACAGACACGCGGGAATGATAGGGGGCACATATAGCCGACCCACTCATACAAGGGAAAGCTGGGAGGAGCCCGCATCATGTTCGAACGTTAGCGGCTCGAAAGCGAGGTATATCAGCAGGCACGGGAGCTGATTAATAGAAACATGTCACATGTGTAGAAGCCTCGGAGTCAGGGAATGATATCGCCAGGAAGTATCCCCCACCTGCCTCCACCACCGAACGTGCTACGGTAGTAGGGCAGACGGAACGACAAACGACTGACAAGCACAAACAATGCAACAGCAGCAGTTACCACACAAAGCATGTAGTCTGAAGTGCCATGCGGTCCTGCGCCGTATCGCCAAGCTAAGCGCTTGCTCTTCTTATTGTTACACGTTCTCACGAAACAAAACACCCCGTACAGCACGGCATATCGATCGTTCAACTGTATGATTCTCCTTCGAAAAAACTCTAAATCACACATGACGGGTCATAGGACGGCAGGAACTACATACATCAAATTCCGCCTGGCGTTCCTCCCGACCTCCTGGCGCCAAACGATTCGGACCTATGCGCGTGCAATGTAAGCACCTCTTTTCATAGGCACCCCAGAGTTACACGCAATCAGTTAGGGATCATGTCCCCGGAAGACAAGACAGACCGCAAACCACGGAAACTAGTTGTAAGAGCCCACAAGGAAGGGCGACGAGGCTCGAACTATAGTCTATACAGTACACGCAACCCAAGCTCAAGCCCACGTGTTACAATGCATGCCATCGCGGTCACCCACTCCCCACCACACGTACGTCAAGAGGCCGACCACACCCGAAAATAATCAAGCGTGCAAACAGAGTAGTAGTCTTAAACAACAACATAATAAGAGCACTTACTGCCAGTCCACAACAAGGAGATAACTTCATCATGACCACCACTACAATACCCCGCTAGACGCGATCAGCCGAGAAATCTGTACGCGGGGGATACGATGGGGGAGAGAGCTAAGCATAGCACATGCATCCCTTCCGCCCAAACAGAAATCGTCGCCTATCCTCCGTAAGCCAAGCAACCATCGTCATCCACCAGAAGGAGCAGCAAAACACACACATAACGTATTCATGCAGTTATCAGCCGGTTAGCACGGTCAATGCTAATAATAAAGACACACAATACTTCCAAAACTTGCGCCACGGCACATCACATCACATCACATCACACCACTCTCTGAAAGGTGGTTGTCGAATGATTACTACTACCCCAGCGAGTAAATCGCTCACCCGTACAGATACTTTTGAGTTGCTTGTAACACCCGGACGAAAAGGTCGTTAAAACAACGACAAGTCCACCTTCGGCAGGTAGAGCGCACAAGCTGAAATGTGCAAGGGTTGTCGCCGTTGTTCAAGCCCGCCAACCGAAATTCCAAGCGACCCATACGGCTCGTAGATACCTTCCTTCAAGCGAGGAACGAGTCGAGACGACGGAATACCGAGCACACGCACAATTTCACGCGCCCCTCTCCCCCCACCCAGGGCGGAAAATCACCCTGAAAAAGATAAAAGCAATCGAGAACCTATTGGACAGTACAACCAGCAAGCACTACAGTACACCGCACACAAGCCCACACCCGCGAAAAGACAAGCAGAGGGGCCACGCGAGTGGGTAAGGAAGGACTGGACACGAACAATAACAACAACCACAGAGTTCCCGCAAAAATACACAAACCGCGCACAAGACACGATGCGGAGCCCCCACCCCCAGGAAAGTTACTGTCTTTCGCCACGCGAGGAATGATGCAGTCCTGCCAAAACCAGGTCATCGAGCTCACCATAACATACCTATCTGCGTGAGCACGTACGACGATAGCCGCAACAACCGGGCAAAACAAGCTGGCCGTGCACACAGAAGCAAAGCCTCTCCCATGACACTTCCTCACGGGATCCCAGATCATGGTCTTGGAAGAAGCGCCTGCTTTTCTGTTTTCAGTCTCGCTTAGACTGAGGTCCTTTGATTGGTCGGCCGGCTAGCGCGCGATCGACGCGAGTAGTAAACACACACACACACACACACACACACACACCGCACTGAGACTGGTGTACTTTCAGTGGTCAGCCGGTTAGCACGGTCGATGCAAATGAGGAAGACACAAACACGGACAAGGGGCGTACACAGACAGCCAACAGGTATGGCTAGCCGTCCCATTGCACAACAACAACAATTAATAGGCAGGAAACACGATCACGAAGGGGGCTGACGGACCCTAAAAGCATGGACAAAGCACCCCGCGTGTGCAGCAACTATTGCGCAGATAGTACAACAATAACGGCAGCACCACCACCAGCACCACCAGAAGACCTACTCAAGAAAGACAAGCACAAAGAGTTCCCGATGAAATAAACGCCAGAGAAAAGTACCGCCTCGATAGACCCTCTCAAAAACCGCCTTCCATGTCTGCCGAGGATTGCTGCTGTGGACCGGACCAGGGTCGATACACAGTACTGCAAAAAAAATTCTCGGGAACACAAGAGCGAGCGAAGCTCTCGCCCCTCCGACGGGGCTCCTTCCCTCCCTCGACTCTACACACAGCAGCAGGCACGCCCGCACCACGGCTTTCCCCCCTCCGGAGGCACTCTACACAAGACAGATGCATGTAAATTAGTGTTGAAACCGAAGACCCGCCTTGGACGAATATTTTTTCTGTCTGATAGGAAACAACGACCTTCTCCGCGAGAGCCTCTCCCGTCAGGCCATGAGGGCGGCAGCGGCAGCGGCATCCGTCGGAGCGGACGTTCGTGCTGCGGAACGCCGGTAGGTTATCTGGTGGGTGATCCATAGGGCGGCCGCGGAATGGACCGTGTGAAAGGAAGAACGACAGCAGAGAAAAAGGTATGAAGGGAGGCGTGAAGGGATGCATCCATCATTAAAATATGTGGTACGCGTTACGCTACAGTGTCGAGCACCAGGCGCATGAGCGACGACACACCAATACCCCCCCCCTCGGTGTTTGCCATCGGGATTGGGTTTCCGTCGCTTGGCAACGACACTGTAAAACAAGCCAATTCACTTCGTGAACTCGGCAACCAGGTGACCGTGTTTTTTTTTTTACCCCCGTTTTTTTTTTTGGCGGTAACCATAATGGTGGTCGAGTAGATCATGTTGTGCGGGGTCGAGAACCCTCACTCCGCGCAAGGGGGATGATCGCACCACGTTGTGCTAAAATTGGTCAAGCACCCTCGAGGCAGTTACACAGTGCTGACAACTGTCTCTGGAAGTGAAAGCACCAGAAAAAAAATTAAGTCATACGCAGCTGTCATCCACACGCAAGGAAGTAAGCACAAGATGCCGAAAACCCTTAGCAGGATGCAGCGCGCCCTTATACGACTCGCCGAATATCTCACGGCGCTTCGCGCTTGGTGATGTGAGAGCCTGGTCCGGTGAGAACCCGGCGTGCTCCGTCCCGGCTTTGTAGGGATGCGAGGTCAATGGTCTAACGACTACGGCATGCACGACTATGAGTACACCCCCCCCCCTCCCGTGTTTGCCTATCGGGATTGGGTTTTCGTCGCTTGGCAACGACGTTGTAAAACAAGCCAATTCACTTCGTGAACTCGGCAACCAGGTTACCGTTTTTTTTTTTTTCCTCCGTTTATTTTTTTTGGGCGGTAACCATAATGATGGTTGAGTAGATCATGTTGTGCGGGGTGAACCCTCACTCCGCGCAAGGGGGATGATCGCACCACGTTGTGTTAAAATGGTCAAGCACCCTCGAGGCAGTTACACAGTGCTTACAACTGTCTCTGGAAGTGAAAGCACCAGAAAATAAATTAATTCATACGCAGCTGTCATCCGTACGCAAGGAAGTAAGCACAAGATGCCGAACACCCTTAGCAGGATGCAGCGCACCCTTCATGCGACTCGCCGAATATCTCACGGCGCTTCGCGCTTGGTGATGTGAGAGCCTGGTCCGGTGAGAACCCGGCGTGCTCCGTCCCGGCTTTGTAGGGATGCGAGGTCAATGGTCTAACAACTACGGCATGCACGACAATGAGTAACCCCCCCCCTCCCTCCGATCTACCGATGTCGATATTTTCGACGCACATTCTGCACTCCCCGCGAGCGACGGACCAAAAAATCGCGCAAAATTGCGATCCGCTACCCTACTCCCGGCGCGAGCATCGCGCCCACCAACTACATCTCTGCCCTGTTCTCGCAGATGCCACATGGCCTGTAGCCCTCCCTGGGGACACGGGAGTCTGCCAGCGAGAAATGGGCGCGCGTTGGTGTTGCTTGCGCAAAAGGGGTCGTTTCAGCCGGCATCAGCAGGGCGACTGCCTAGCACCGCCGTTGCCGTGCAACGGACGGCATGGGGTTGGGCACCATCCGAGCGAGCGAGTGTCACGACAACGCTGAAGCAACATATCCTCAGCACGTACGCACGTACGTACCTTGAGCGTTGGCCCGGTGTACAAGATATTCCCCTCTGACGATCGAACTTCTACGACCATGTCCACCTGCAAAAATGGGGGCCAGTGAAGGGTGGTGTTTTCTATGTGGTTAACTGTTGTATACAATACTGACGTCATTATCACTGGTCAGTGGGTCCATGCCACCTGGAAAAAAACGTGCATACATCCCGGCACACACACAACCGAACTGAGACTGGGTCTTTTCATTCGTGAGCCGGGCGGCGCGGTCGATGCCAATAAGAAAAAAACAAAACAAAACACACACACACACACACACACACACACACACACACGTGGAACCTTTTCATTGGTCTGCCAGTTAGCGCGGTCGATACAATACCATACACACACATACCTCCATGACGCGAATGTTGTCCACTTTGTACACCTCCGGCCAGATCTCCATGATGCTGGGGAACTCTACCGCCGCGTCCGCTCGACCCCGTCTTCCACCAACGACTCCGGCAGGGTCGCCGCCGCCACCGCCACCGGCTGCCCCATCTAAGGGCAAGCTCGCGAACCGTTCCACCCTTGACGCCGGGTCGACGGAGAACCGTGCGCAGACGGTGACATCGCGGAGTTCGCTCTCGAGGCCCAAGAAGGCGAGTCGGCACCGGTTGTTGAGGTAGTTTGACGAGGGTCGAGACGTACAGGCCGCCACCGCCGCCGATGGATCTGGGAAGAAAGATGTCGCCGCGGTAGGCGGCAGTCCCCGGGGGGGCTTGGAAGGCGTCGCGGCGCAGTTCCCATCAAAGTCACACTCCTGAATCGTCAACGAGCAAGGGGGGGCATGAGCGTGCGTGACTCGATGGTAGCTTAAAAATTTCGTCCCTTCGTTTACCGCTGCCTCCGTCTGCACGAGGACAAGTCTCAAAATATGCGTCTATCTGCGTGTGACAAACAGAGGAACTGGGTCTGAATAGAGGCCGCTCGTGTTTCTTTCAACGTTTTTTTCGCCTTCATAAGTTGTTTGACGCGCGGGCCTGAGGGTCTGGGAAGCTAAAACACTACCAAAAAAAATAAGGGTCCCCACAACGCCGCGGTCATCTTTTCACCTGCTCGCACCAACCAAACGCTATCGAGTCCCCGGGTGGCGGCATCTCGAGCCCGCCGCCAGCGGGGACGGCAGAGTGGTGAGGTCCCTCGCCGTACCACATAATCGCCTGCTGCTGCTCCTCCGACGACTCCGCCGCTAGGCACGGGTCGGGGACAATGCTGGCACGCTGGTGGTCGGTGGCGCCTTCCTCCCCGGCCACCGTCACCGCCGCCGCAGCAGCGCCGGCGTTGGTTGGGTCAAGCAGTGCCCAAGTCGACGAGCAGTGGCGCTCTAGAGCGACCGGGCAGAACGGCGCGTCCGGGTTGTCATCGGGCGCCCCCTCCCACTGGCCGTGTCCGGCGGAAGCAGCGGCGGCGGAGGCCGGTGGTTTGGCTTCTGCTGTGGCTGCACCAGCGGCGGCGAAGAGCGAGACCGCCTCTTCTTGAGACATCACGCCCGCTCTGCACTCGTCGTAACTGGTGCCGCGGGCCAGGCCTGGGCAAGAGGCAGAGGCAGGCGCGGGGTCGTCGGTGTCACCAGAGGCAGGTCTTGCCCCGAGCGGCGGCGGCGCCGCCGCCGCAGGCAGCCGGTCACCGCTCGCGTCCGCCTCGTCGATGCTCCCGCCCGACGACGGCGGCGACTCCACGCCGCGGATAACATCGTCCCACCTGGGGAGGTCGTTGCCCTCGGCAGTCATGACGCTGCAGGAACGGCCCAGGCACGGCGGCGGCGACGTCGATGACGCCGGGAAGTCGGCGGTGGTGGCAGGGACCGGGGCTGAGAGGCTGCCGCCGCCGCCGCCGCCGCCGCCTCCTCCGAGAATCAGGCCCCCCTGGCCCCCGAACGCTACGCCGAACGCCGTGCAGATGTCGTCGTCGATGACGACCATGTCATCGGCGTGCTGCTGCTCCTGGTTCGGGGAGAATGGTGACGACGTGGAGGGTAGTTCGCCGACGTCCGCCCACGTGGCGTCGCTGCTGCTGCTGCTGCTGCTGCTGCTGCTGCTGCCGTCGTCGTGATCAAGGAGGTCGAGGAGGTCGCTGGAGCTGCTGGTCCTGCTGCTGGCGTAGCTGGTGGTGTCGCTGACATAGTCGCTGAGGTCCTCGTGCTTTGCTGCTGCTGCTCCACTCTTCATTGCTGCCCCTGCTGCGCCACCGCTGCCGCCGCTGCTGCTGCTGCTGCTGCTGGCCGGGCTGTCGCCGGCTGTGGCGCTCGCGGTGTCGGCAGCGGTGGTCTTCAACGCGACGCTTCGCGAACACCCTACATGAAACGGGGAATCGCGGCAAAGCAAGGAGAAAGAGGGGCACCGGTGAGGAGGTGAGGGTGAACATGGCGAAGGAAGAGCGGACAACATTATGGCAAAAAAGAAGGGGCCATGTAACTCCACTCGTGGGGAATGAGGGTTCAAAGAGCGAAAAATGCAAGCCTGGAGAACCCGCTGCACAATTAAACAACGAGAGAAGCGAGAGAGCGCACACCGATCTCTGCGCACAGCATCCTTGTGCATTGTCCCTGGCGAAACGCGCATGGCCTACTACGCGCTCCGATTTCCAAAACAGGGCGCAACACATGCCGCAACCCTTAAAACTCACCCTCTTCGCTTGTTTCCGCCAAGGGCGGTGTGGAGGAGGACAAGGAGGAGCGGGAACCGCCGCCGCCGCCGGGCCGAGTCTTCCGCTTGCGGCCCCGGTCTAGCTGAACGGGGTGCGCCGAGACGAACGTCGCCTCGAGAAGGCTGCACAACAGGCCTGCGGGGCCCTCGATGGGCTGGGGGCCGGTGAACTGGATCTCGATGCAGGCTCTGCCGCCGTGTGTGATGGTGGTGGTGGTGGTGTCGGTGGGGAGAGGAGGAGGGGTGGAGGTTGTTGTCGAGCCGCCGGCGTAGTCGGCGACAGGCCGGAAGGCCAGCTTTCGGGTAGAGGTGTACCTCTTCCTGAAGGAGGAGAGCACCTCGTCCTCCTGGGCTGATGCACCGGTTTTTTTAGGGGGTCCGGGGGGGGCAGCACGAGGTAAGGACACAGAAACGGCTGAGCGACTACAAACACCGAGGCTGGTCCATTTTTGAAACTGCTGATGCTCTCTAGTGCTTGCTACCGTTGATGAGATTAGGAAAAATTATTGTTGCCGGTGCGTGATAAGCAGAAACTATTTCGACTTCCAAGGTATAGCGGGGGTTTCGCTAGATCAATAGGCGTTTTTTTCCCAGCCTGGGAGAACTGGCCGTTCCTGTTTTTCCGCTGAATCATTTCATCTTTACGCCGCGGGGTGGGCTGTGTGGTCTTGCATGTTTCGAGTACGATCCCGACACGAGGGCATACATACCGTGCCGTCTGCCGCACACAACAGTGTGGGTTCATCCTGCTCACCGTGGTTCCTGACGTCCTTCACGAGCAGATTCCAACATCTCTTCTTGGAGGACGGCATGGAGGGAGGCGGGATGGCTGCGACGGCCATGGTTTCCCCTCTGAAGGCTATTGTTGCAAAAATTTCTGGCCTCTGCAGGTGGTGTGTGTGCGTCCGGTAAACAGATGGGGGGAGAGGGGCAGGAGGGAAGTTCGAGGAGAGATCAGAGGGAGTCCAATGTTCTTTTTTTACCCCTAGGCGATATTGGGGATAGGGTAAGGGATAGGGTCTGCTTCCCCCTTCCCTATTATTTTTCTAGATACTATTACAATCCTGCGTAGGCGGTCCATATTTGCTGGCTCTTCGACGAAACACGATTGATAATTTTTCTGACCCCGTTGAGGTCGCGGCTCGTGCCGATGAAAGCAGAGTAACGCAACCGCAAAAACTTGGCCACGATTTGGGCTAAAACACAAGCAGCAGTGCAGCCGCATCATCACCCTTCGCCGAACCCGTGTGTGTATGTGTGTGGAACGCGGGGCATGAGGGTTGGGTCCGAAAGACGCCTCACCGGCTAGTAACTACTGAATTGCCCGCACATCACTCACTCTGGAAGGCCTTAATCGTGAGAAAATTGAATGTAAGGCACTTCAGGGGGTACCCGTAGTCGTGCATACCGTAGTTGTTAGACCATTGACCTCGCATCCCTACAAAGCCGGGACGAAGCACGCCGGGTTCTCACCGGNTGTAACTGCCTCGAGGGTGCTTGACCATTTTAACACAACGTGGTGCGATCATCCCCCTTGCGCGGAGTGAGGGTGCTCGACCCCGCACAACATGAATTACTCGACCACCATTATGGTTACCGCCAAAAAAACAAATGGGGGTAAAAAAAAAAAACGGTAACCTGGTTGCCGAGCTCACGAAGTGAA